CCCCAAAACCCCAAAACCCCAAAACCCCAAAACCCCAAAACCCCTCAAATAGCCATACAATTGAATTTCACAATATGAAGTTAAATATTAAGTTTTTATTACTTTCTTTAATAATGCTCTATAAGGTCTGAGACATTGCTTAACTCCACCAGCTCTAAGCTTCTCACTTTCATGATTCAGTCTTAATTCTAGAAGTTTAGTCTTGTCTATCTCTTGTCTGCCCTTAACTTTTGATAAAGCAAGCTTATTAAGTTGGAGGTAATCGTACCTTACTTTTATGTAATATTCATCTCTGTTCTTGACAATCGAGTCTAACTCATACACTTTTGAGTCGGAAATATAGTCATCGTTTTCGAAAAAATTCGTCGGTGAAATAGGATTCACTGGTGAGATGAAGTTAGATCCATATCCTAATCTCCTTATCACACATCCAGCGAGGCTTTTCAGAGTGTTTTTCTGAATCTCAGAAAATTTCTTAAAAGATCTCCCTGATGGATCTCTCTGATAATATAACTCCTTTTCAGGGCTAACCTCTTTCTCTATGAGGCTTTCAACTATAGTTCCTTCAATATCATCAGTATCCAATAAGAATTTAAAAACATCGATGAGAACAGTTTTCGGATCTTCCATCAGGTCTTCATATCTAACTCAATATGTTGGTATTTCAGCTGCAAGCATCCAGTAATCATAAAATCTTCTCCAAGTAGAAGCCTCTTGTTTTACAAAATCATCCCATCAATTCTTGAGTAACTCCATAGACTCTGTGTTTAGAGTACCATCATTTTTCTTAGTGACAATTTTTCAGAAGTGCTCATAGATAGCATCTCATGGGTTTTGACAAACAAGAATACATTTGCTGATAGATATCTTCTTTTCACCTATTTCTTCAGGAAAACTTGTCTTGACCATCCAAACTCTTCCGACAACTCCTTCACCCTCGAGGCCATAGTCTCATTGATACTGCTTTCCTAGGACTGTACTTGTATCTCTGTCAGATCCAGTTATGATATATGAAATATTTTCTATATACTTCCGAAGGAGGGAGCTACCAGACTCCTGATAACTTGCAATGCCAACTTTTTCAAAACAGTTACGAATTAAAAATTTTGGTTTGATGTAGGCTTTCGGTAATTCCTTGCCTTTTGACAAGTAAGTCTCAGCGGTCGGTCAAATCTTGCCAGTCATGAAATTATCATATTTAGATCCTCTAGCATTCTCTGGTCTTAGCCGTGTTACATTCCTCTCTTGAAGCTCTGAATCAAGAAACTTGCATTCTTCTCCAGTTTCTCCAGAGATAGAAAAGTTGTTAAGACTTCCCATATTTAAAACACTGTCGTTGTCAAATTTATCTGAAGAGTTAGCGCTTTTGGAAATTTTAGAGTCTTTTAATGCTTTATATTTAGCCTTACGGTCTTCCATTATTTCACTTAAATTTATTATCTTAAGATCTACAGCTGGTGAATTTGTGGGGTTTTGGGGTTTTGGGGTTTTGGGGTTTTGGGGTTTTGGGG